AAAGATGTTATGATTGCTGTATGATCCATATAATCATATATTTCTTAAAAGAAAGAAACATATAAATATGTATATAAATCATATATCAATGTGTGATTTTACTACTATGAATAATTTCCAGCAAAAGTTAAAAAATGTAAAAAATTAAGTTAATGGAGTTAACTTTGTAACTAAGAAATCAGGAGGGCATTGTGCCACTGCATACATATACATATATATATATATATATATATATATAATTAGGTTTATCCAATTAATGTTATAATTAATTAACATGGTAAGTTTAAAAAGAGTATCATGTAGTCAGCCATGTGCACCCAATTTAAGCCTGAATTAAACAATGAATGATAAATTCCAAAGCCTAATTCTCTTTTCCTTTTTTGTTTTAATTTACCCAAAACTTTCCTTTGTCTCTTTATTAAAATTTTTAAATCTGTTTGGGTCATAAATTATTATGACCAAGAAAATGTAAATGAGGAATTTTGAGAAGAAAATTTGAAGAGAAACATATTGGGTGCCATGTGAGAGAGAGAGATTTGTAGGCATGCTTTTTTTTTTTTTTTTTTTTTGAAGTAAACAATTACTAGGCACTACATGATCATGGAGATCACCAAATTAATGTAGACCTATATGTAATCTTTGACCAAGTGTCTCTAAATTATTATTTGCTCTCATATATATATATATATATATATATATATAGGTTTTCTTACATCATGATTTTTTTACCCATGTTCTAATTAGATAAACCCATCCATTAGTTTTAATTTAGTATATGTATATATATATATATATGTATAAAAGTAAATTATTATAATAACTTCTATAAGTAATCAGTTAAATTATTAAAAATATCTTATTTACAATAAATAAATAAATAAATAAATAAATTTTTTTGGGGTCATACTTAATAATAATATATTGCTTGTCACATTAACAATGTATGAAGTATTTATCATTAATGAAAGGAACAAAAATACCCCAAAATTGAGGAATGTTTCATGTTAATACAATTTTTAGGTATTCACATATCTAACTAAGAAACTTTGATCACAATATTGATATTATATATATATATATATCTATATATATTTGTAGGTCAAAAAACCTATGGAGAGGTCTTGAAAGGGATGCAAAACAATATATATATATATATATGTATGTATGTATAGAAATGTTAGCACTTTATGCCCACCCAAGTTGGTGAAAGAGAGAAGTGAAAGTTCTATTGGGATTTGGAAATGGATTAATTAGGAGCAGGTTGATTATATTGTATCCTTTTTATAGATTGGTGTGTGTTTACTTGGACTTTTGTCTTTTTCCCCATATTTTTTCAAGTCTAAATCAATCTTTACATGCATTCCCCTCTGGTAATACGTAATTATATACTCCCACATGTATATATATATGTATTTAAAATCAAGTTTCATTTATAGATAATTAATTGTAAGAATTTTGAAACAATATTATATAAGAATACATTTCAGACTTGAAATTACAACTGATTGTGTAAGTTAATCGAAGTAACTTGGTTTCTTGTTTTGGATCAAATGAAACTTGATTAAAATCAAAATTTCGTCATCTATAGGCTGCTCGAGAACAAGTCTTGGAATGATTTTTGGAGATTATGTCGAATTGCCTGTAAATTAACAGATTACTGTAGAAAGGACAAGAAAATTAGAGGGTGTAAGTTAAATTTGAAAAGCATGCTGTTTGCACGTGTTGGTTATCCGGGAATCTGGCAGGACTGTCTCCAGTCCAGATTACATTTTCATTCTCCAAAAATGTCTCACTGCAACTCTTGCGTATCTTTTCCAGAATTTCCTCTCACAGATTCACAGTTTCGTCCTTTTGTCTTTTCTTGGAAAAATAATGTAATGCAAACCCAGATCATTATATTAAATACAGAAAAACCCAGCTTCGCTAACCTTTATGAATGATCACTACCCAGTCCCCCTCCTTTGAATACTTTCAGACGGTGTAATTTCAGAAAACGAACTGCTTCGATTAAAGAAAATTTTATTTCATTTCTTTTTCATTTTCTAGTCAATCTCTAGTTCTAATTTTCATATTACTCTTAATCTTGCATAACTAAAACATAATTTGCTGTATTAGTTAGAGTTTACCCCCTTCATTTACTTTGAATTCCTTGCAGTTGAGAATTAAGGTTAAGGATTGAAGTTTTACCATTAAAGAATTTAAGGTGGGATGATAATAACTCCACCCATCTAATTATACATATAGCTAAAAGCTGAATGTAGACTCGAAGACAGCTTTACATTCGTTGAAAATGAAAGAAGATGCTTTCACTAAACGATTCTAAAACATAGTTTGTGAAACCAGCAGGTCACTTCATAATCTGGGTCTATTCATATCAGATTTGAAGCAGTTACTGGCCAGCAGAAGGAGACTTACACAAGAACCTTCATCTTTAGCCAAGAAAGAAAGGTATTTGAGTTACACAACAAACCTATCCCTTAAAACATATTAATCAAATTAATTTAACGTTTGAGCGGCAATCGTCTCATGTCATGTGGGTGGCAATCTCTTCAGAGCAATCTGCCAAGAGAATGTATTTATACCACTCATACCATCTATGCAGCTCTTGGGAGGCATAATCTGACATTCTCCCAACTCAGAAACTGGATTTGAATCTAACTCTGGTTTCTCTTCTTCCATCCCCATTTTTCTGTCGTCCACCATCACTTCCAAAAATGCTTCTAAGGCTTTACGCATCCACTCGTATCGACATAATTCAAAGGCTTCTTTTGTGTTTAGCTGCACAATCAATACAACAACATTCAATCCGAGTATAATTCCCACTGCATATCTTACAATGTATCTACAATGTATAAATATATAAGGTAACTCTTACCCATTTCCTATCACGATTTTCCTGCTCTGGCCAGGAATCAAGCTCCTCAGTCACCTCTAATGCAAACATGTAACCTTTGCAGCCTCCTTCCAGGCTGCAGATGTCCTGTGTACTCTTGCTTCTAAACTTCCAAACTCCTAGTGGAATTTCCTAATCAAAAGCACAAAACAGTACAAACAAAAATACATCAACTCCTGAATTGTCACAATTTTAATACAACAGAACTTACTCTGAGTATTCCTTTCACTCCTGCTTCCTCTACCGCTTCACGACATGCAGCTTCTTCCACGGTCTCATCATCCTCCCATCCACCCTGGTAAAGGAAAACATGTACATGAATCATCCTCAGTTTACAACTATGAAGAATCCAAGTACATACCTTAGGGAAGACTACTATGAAGAATCCAAGTACATACCTTAGGGAAGACTAGGTCATGACGGTTGGGAGAAGAAACCATGAGAACTTCTATCCTGTTTCCTATTTCAGCGCCATCATCCTGATCATCCCTTACCACCCGATAGGGAATGCATCTGCCAAATGCACCAAATTCCGAGAATTTACCACTCTATGGCAATCATGTGTGGTTCATGTGCAAAAAAATTTGACTTAAAGAAATTAAAACCACCAAGGAGTCGGCTTTTAAGTCCTTTCATTTTTTCCTTTCAAATTAGCTTCCAATTGGCAACATCTTTTTTCTTATATCTCTTTTTTCTGTTTGCAAAGGTAACAAAATTACAAGGTTTGGATGTTTAGACAACTGAAGATATTTGATCTCAGAGTCTTTGAAATATTTACTGTTGGTGAACAGAAAAATTTTCTATTTCAACACTTGAGAAAAATTTTAGAACCGAGTGAGACACCTTTTAAAGATATAATGGATGAAAAAGTATCTTATGGACTTCAACCAAATCAATTACTTATTGGCTAGAAGTTGGAAAGTAGTAAAGATCAAACCACTGCAAATATTACTTCCTGTTTCCGTTGTTAACAATTCCTGCAGAAATTTCCTAATGCCCACAAACTTGTTGTGGGTCCTTTTCCTTTTCTACTAAAGGGGGTTCCAAGGTCCTAGATTCAATTTCAGGAAGCATAATAAAACCCAGGCTGTCATTGTATTCATTTGATTTGGAATTTGAGAATGTAACAATGTGATTCTCATCAATAAGGAACAGTAATATGATTTTTTCAATTGGATATAAATTTACTGAAAAATCCTTTTTACAATATGATAATGACAAAAAATTACAGTCCCCCTTCCATTGAAGTAATAGCCAAAATAGATTAAGCCTAGTAACCCACAACCATAATATCATATGAAGATGATTTCAAAAACAAATTCCCACAAGAGGACAAAGTAGATCAGGCAAAATGCTTGGTTTTATATCCACCAAGTCAATGATAAGGACAACTTGGGTCTTGTTTTTAAGATAAACCATTGGAGATAAGCAAATATTACTTAAAAGATGATAATCCCACAGAGAAATAAAGATGCTCCTGCTAATTTGTTCGCCAATGATTAAACAAATAAGTCGTTCATTTGTCATAAATAAACATGCTTTTGAATCTCAACTTCTTGTTTTGTGATTAACATTGCGTCTGCCACATGACAAAAGATGGATCAAGCCAAAGATATCCACGAAGGAGGATGATAAACATGCCATGAAGGCAATAAATAAAGCAGAGCGGTTAAAAGGGGGAATACCCAGAGACAAGGCGAAAATTGTCCTCATAACGCTGGCGGTGACGCCCTGTTCGTGCTAGCAGGGATGACATGGTTGTAAGCACAGCAACCTTCTTTCAGAAAGACTAAACCACATCAAAATTAACAAATGAGGAAACATAAGCTTGTATAAATAAAAGAAATCGGGAGAAAGAGTGTTAAAAGGGCATACAAACTGAGTCAGATAATTAGAGTAGAAGGCGGAGAAATAAAGAGGAGGAGGAGCAAGCAGAAATGCAGATGCTAGGCTGTGAACCCAGTTATAAACATCCATATCCAACCCATGTAAAATCCGAAACAAAAGTGATAATCATTTGGGTAATGGGTTTTGTTTTTTTCTTCCGTAATATTTGTCTGCAACAGGAAGAAGTAGAAGTAGAAGAAGAAGAAGAAGAAGAAGAAGAAAAGAGAAAAAGGGTTTGATGGGGTAAAAGGCAAAGAAGAAGAAAAGTTGAGGAAGAAGGAGTAAACAGAAAGATAATAACAAAAAGGAAGTACGAGGGAGCGAGAGAAATTCCCGGGAGAGACAGCACCGCCATTCCCTTCCCGCTATATAAAACCTTCTCTCTTGTAATATTACAATTCATAGGCATGCTCTGTTTCATAACTTCCTACTACTATTTCTTTTGTTAATTACAAAACATTAATTCATCACCTAATTAAAAAATAAAATAAGCGTTTTTATTTTATTAATTAATTTATAATTACGGTGAGTAATTATTTCATTCTTCAATTCCTTCAATTTTAAGATAACTAGAGAAAAATAGATATTTACCTTAATTATATTTTTAATCATAATTATGACTAATTTCAAAATTAATTATCATTCAGTATGATTAAAATTTAAGAATTTTTTTGTATTACAAAATATCTCCATCAACTTATCCTCATACCTAAACAGTTTTAAAACAGTAGTTAAATGTATAATATATATATTAATTAAATAAATTATTTTAAAATTAATTAAAAATTTCTTTACTTACGTATAAGATAGTATTTATATTATATTTTATGTAACTACAAAAAAATTATATTGTGTGGGTAACATAAAACAAAACTATAGTGATAAAATATAATATCATAGTATAACTTAAATTAGATATTACACTACAACAATAACAATATTATTCCTATACATATAATGTCACCCATAAAAAATAAAAAATTCACCCAATAATCTTATCACTTATTTTATTTGCCAGAAGGGAAATATATATATATATATATGTGTGTGTGTATATACACGTAAATTCTAAGTTGTATCATAGTGGTTAGATCTTTTCGATCTTGTTTTATTTTTAAAATAAATAAATAAATGAAATAAAATTTAACCCAATCTTTTTTTAAAATTCTCTTCGAACACCTTCCAGGAAACTTTGCATTCATCATTATCGCATATTTAATTTCATCAATTACTTCTAAGTTAAGTTGGCAAGAATAATCTTTTTGACTGCCATATTTATAGAAAAAAAAAATACACATAATAGTAATAATTAATATTTAATTATCTATTATTTCATGCTATTCAAAAACTTTTTTGGAAAATTTAAATCATATGATATAATTAATTGGAATAATTTATCAAAAACATAATATAAATGACAAATTATGCTTTTTTTAGTTTGATATTTTTTTTAAAATAAATAAATGATTGTCAATTATTTAAAACATAGTTTCAGAATGGGAGTTTCGATTATCTTAATCGAACCCTCTTTTTTAAATTATATATATATATATATATTGGTGGGCGGTGATAAGAATTGAATTTATAAATAGTATTATATATGGCTTGACGGAGCATGTACATACACGTATGTATATGATATAATAAGCCGTGCAGTGCAGTGCAGTGCAGGCGGAAGCAGCAATAGAAAAATGAAGTAGCAGATGCAGATGTGGGATCCCACGGGGACAAATTTGACGTCGCTAGTTCTGTATGTAAAGATTCTAATAAGATCACAAAACATTAATGGCAGTTCGCCATCCGCATGTGACAGACCTTCAGAACTTCACCTTCTCTTCTACCTTCCTATATATACCGACCCTATTACACATGTATTGACAAGCATACAGATAGTATATATGTATATCATCTCCTCTAGCGGATTAGATAAACAAAATTACTTAATATTCTTGTTTTTCTCTTTTCATATTTACATTTTGAACTGGGTTTTGAGGTTGGTGAAGCTTCAACTTGTTGAAAATGATCTTCTAATAATTAGCAAAACAGCTTACCTTCACATGAATCACATTCTAATTGGTCAAAAAAGTTTAGCAACTTCCTCTAGATTTTGAATACACAAACAGAAGATAAATGATTCTACCATCCATGAAAATACATACCAGTCCACATAATTGGCCTCTTTCTTTGAACTCGGGGAAAAGGAGACCATATCAAGATCCAATGTCTCACAAACTTCGGGTTTCTTTAATTTTCGTGGTGAAACATGTGCAAAAAAGTTTCGGACTCAAACAACCACATAGAGGTGAAATACCAACCAAACCGATACAGTTAACTGGATTCAAAATTCACCGAAGACTATTACCACGAAGTAATGATTCCCATCTCCAAAACTAAACTTCACGACCTTACTGCTCAACTGAATGCCAATTGCATATATCCTGAGAAAGCAGTAATCTTCTTCTATCATAAAGAAATGCAGTTGGTTCGCAAGGCAGCCAAACAAAATTACATCTCATTCCATCCATCCCCAATATCATATCCCAGCTTTTTGTTCAACAGCTAGGATAACCCCAAATCAATAAAGCAAAGCAAATGGCTTGAAGGGCGGACGAAAGGAAAAAGAGCTCATAGAAAATTCAAAGCAATGGTGATAATGAAAAGCAATCAACGATAAAAGGTAAACGGGGCATTAGGTTTTCATCTATCAAGCAAAAATGACAATGCGTCTTGTTGATAATGAAATTACATGATCCAATCCCAAAAGCATATATAAACTCTCACCAAATCCACTACAATACAAAGAAACTAAAAAGCAGTGCCAAAATTAACTTCCGATATAACAAAGAAAAAACCATCTCAAGGCACCAACGTTAGGAACTCTTCCATAAAAATTAACTATGGGATCACTTAGTCCCCTTTTCTCCTGAAAGAACATCCCTCAGTCAGTCTAGCTCGCCCACCTGTAGGTTGGCACAGAACTGTTTGGCAGTTCCCACACACCACAACAGTTTGAGAGTGGCTGAAAACAGTTGTTCTGCAATTTGTTTACACAATCCCAGTCAAGACACATTCAGGATTTCGCCACAAACAATCAAAACAAACATAATAAACTGATAAAAAACATCACGAACTATGTAAAGATCTACTTACATGCTAAAGCAACCCTGGCATTTGACATCCTACAATGGAGAAAACAGGAAATAAGTACTCCAATACATTCCATCAAAACATAAAACTACTGGCGTAATCTGACGTTGATGTGCCAAACACACACACGAACACCAATATGCAATAAACAAATAATAGCGTGACGAATTACCATGAAGAAAGAATTTGGAGACTGAACAAGACGCTTGAGCTTGTGCTTCCTCTTTTCAATCTCCGCCGGAGGATTCAACAAGTCAATATCGTTCTGGAGAACCTAACCTCGCAAATCACACCAAATATTAGTTTTTCAAACCAATACTAGAATAATCAGTTATAAAAAAAAGAGACGCTTGCTATAACCTAAAACAAGAAAGAACACTATATCCTCCTTTTCCTAGTTGTACACCACTCAAACAAAAGATCATAGAAAGAAGCCTAAGATTACTTTCAGAAAACCAAAGGCAGAACTCTATTACCGAGAAGCAAGACAAGTATATGCATGTCTACAAGAAACCAGAAAACAGAGGATTATATCATTCGACTGTATCATCTCGAGATAGCAAAGCAGATCAGGGAATAAAAACGAGAACATAATGTGGAAGATTGAGAAGTGAACACACACCATGGTGGCAGATGCAGTCGGAGAAGCAGGAGACCTTGATTAGAGAAGTCTAGCAAAAGCAGAGGTCCGCTGCGTCGCTAGAAGAGAGGGAAAAAAAACCCTAGCCCGAGCCGATTTTATAGAAAGCGACCGTGCGATGGGCCTGATCCGTTAGATGAGAAAGCAAAAGGTCTTGACCCTTGATTTTGACCAATGTTTTAAAAAATTAGACGTTTAAGACTGGGCTGTTATCGGGCCCTGAAGTGGGTAGTGGAAACCACCATTAAGCCCAGATGGACCCAATTGAATTAGTTATAAGATCAAGGACTAGACTGTCAGTTCAAGTTGTCTTCTTTTCGTCGTTCAAAACCCTAGAAGGGATCTTTAAAAACGGTACGCAGTAACAGAGCTGAGGGGAACTATTCGAATGCTCAGCCTTCTAGCAGCTTTAAAAGGTACACACTTTCTGCTTCCATATGAATTCTAGTGTGAAAATATTAGTAGAGGATTCAATCGCTGTTCACTATTTATTCATCATTGACTTTGCTCTTCTAACTTCCGCCAAAATGATTTATCTTCGAATTTTATATGTGAATTGAGTACATTTTACAGATTTCTTTGTTGTAGAATATTTGCTAGCATAGCTATTATAGATATACTTGAGGTCTCAATCTAGTCTTTCATCTTCATGGTAAAGATTGTCACATGTCTGGAAAAGCAGACAATAAGAAAGGAAAATTGATGAATGGGTTTTCGTTTAATTGTTACTCATGTTATTGTAAGTTGAACCAGACATTGTCAGGTGTCTACCATGCACACATTGGCAGATACTGTTACATATCTGGTAAAGAAAAGAAAGGGAAGGAAAGCTTTGAGATGGGTTCCATCTCTTGGTTGGATTTCTCTCGTAGGTGTTCATCGTTGCCCGGTAACATGAACTTAATGGTTATCCGAGCTACATCTGGACTCCATATCTCCATGTTTGTTTTATACCCAAATAAATTTCTTAGATGCTTAGATGTACTGTGTCCAAAAGCTGAACTTAGACCCTTTTCTTCGTTCGAACTGTATTTTTTTTCTTAAGATACTTTTGGAAATAACATGACTATGCATATGATAGGCCCCGAAGATCCGCAAGAGTGCCACGTAAGAACCCAAAATTTGTGGATTAAAAGATCCCCACGTGCAGGTTGAAGGAGTCAAAACAGAAGGAAGAAGAAGCGGTCAACCAGGAGGAGAATCTGCTACCAGTAGGATATCTTAGTTGTTCGTAGTAGTTAATGGATTTTTACTTTTCCTTGATTTTCTGAGATTGAATTTAATCATGTTTTCATGGAATTAGGATGTTCTGTTATTTTCTGTTATTTCTTCTTGTATTTAAAGACCTCAAGAATGAATGAGAAGGCAGATTGCATTTTTCAGAAAACCTTTATCAGTGACTGTTTCTCACTGCAAGCAGAAACATCTAACTTTTCTTCACTCACACTCTCCACTCTGATTATTTATTTTTGTTGAATGGTACATAACCTTTGATTTGATTTTAAGATTTAGTATTTAGTTATATATTGTATGCTTTCTACATCTCGATAATACCACGGGGACAAGAAGTTGTCTAACTTGTCGAATAGTTATTTAGTATTCCTAAAATCTTCATTGATCTTATTAATCCAAGGCTTTGTTGACAAGATAATATGTTCCTTACACCATTTTTGAATGTGATTGTGGTTCTGTATGCTTTTTGTTTATTCCAACAGATGATAAAATCTTCCTCCTTGCATATATTTAATTGAGAAATGTTTTCTTCAGATAATTTTCTTAAAAAATCTGATGGATCAGACTGTCATACATAATTGGATTGGAAATCAGGTATCTAAGGATTAGTTATTATAAACCAGACAAATGAGAAACAGGGGAGATATTTTAGGAGATGAGTTATTCGCAGCAGGTCACAGTCTGGCGTGACCGAAGATTGTTTCCTGCTGGGTTGAAATAATTGGCAAAACACATAGATGTATGAGGCATTGAAGTATGTACATAGATATGGATGAGGTTGTAGATATATAACGTGTAAGTAGTGTAGATTATATTAAATGATGAGACAATTACATTGTATTATGGTAGGCATAAGTAGAGTTTGGAATGAAAAGCTAGATAGTATTTCAAGTGTGGAGTGGTGATGAAGTGATCGGGAATCCTATACATTCACCCATACACAAAAGGTCCTTAACGCCACAGTTTTGAATGCAATGTTGAAATCCATTTGCTCCTTGCAGTGGTATGCAGTCCAGGGCGCAAGTAATGACACTTTGCTCGCATTTCAGCAGGCAATTGTTCAACCCTTTATTGCTCGGGCTCTGCGCCAGCGCCTCCGCTGCTGCGCAAACCAGCAAAAACACTGCAGCGAGGTATGCTCTTGAGCTGAAAGTGAAACCCATTTTAAGATGAAGATGATGATGGGAATCAGAGATGTGGGAAGGCTTTTTTATACACTACATGTATATAACTGCAGAGGATGCTCGTGATAAAGCCAAATCCAACACGGCTCGTTTCATTCACCTAGCATGATTTGCATATGGAGTTCGCACCAGAACACCTTCCTTTCATTTGCTTTTTCAATTAATTATAATGTGTATGTTATACAGTTTACTTTTAAAATTATAACTCATAATATAAACATTATACAACAATAATGAGAGAAAATAAATGCAATATTCCTCCACGGTAGACATTTCTACTATATCAGCTAGTTGTGTCTTCCTCCATTTTTTCTGAAATTGACTTTTCTTGCCCTCCCCCCTCCCCCCTCGCCTTGTCAATTAATTTCATTGTTCTCCAATAATGATTTTCAAAAGTACAAAGTATTTCAAATTTCATATCACTCACTACTCACCACACAAATAAATAAAGGAATCTTGTTGAATAAATTTCCAAAACTTGTACAAAATTAACTTTTTTTTTTTTAATTTTCTGTAATAAATTTGAACAAGTTTTTGTACATTTTTATTAAATTTTTTTCTGAATTTATACGTAGTTACGATATGAAGTGTTTTTTTTTTTATATAGTAAAATTAAAATTTTAATTATTCTATTTAAAATAATTTAATTGTCTTAAAATATTATTTTTATAAAATATATATATGTAATTATAATTTGATTAACACGTTAAAAAATTAAAATTTTAATAAAAATAATTGGAAAAATACATGTTAATGGGAATGGTAGGTTTGTAGGAAAAGTATACGTGCATGGCTACGGTCACCCGTCAACATCTATTACACAGCATACCTAACTCCTTTCTTTGAAAATCTTATTCACATGATATTTCATTTTCTTTATATATTTTTTTACTTCTAACTTTTTATATATTGTATTAATTTCCATTCACTAAATATATTATTATATATATATATATATATATATTCACGTCGTGTTGTACCATTCTCTTTAAAAATTTAAAAAAAAAAACATAAATAATTTTAATCATTGATTATCTCTTAAACGAGAGCTAAATTAAAAATATATTATTATTGTTATATAAATTAGAACGATTTTGTCTAAGTTATTTATGGACTACACAACATTATCACAGCTTCGACCTCGAGTAGTATGTATGTCTTTGTATAAATTCACACACACACACACGCACATATATATATATATTAGACAATCATGGCAACCAAGGAACAAGACTTAATGAGATAAATATAGCAAAATTAATGGTTGGCTAATTATTTATTTATTTTTATTTTAATTTAGATTAATCGTGTATAAGTATTGATTCGTAAGTTATATTTTAGATTTAATTACTCTTAAAAAGAGTTGTAAAAATTGTTCTTTCAATTTTCTAATTAGTTGGTAGCAGGCAGGTCAGATTATAACAAAAATATTATATTTTTATTAATTAAATATTTTACTTATGATATGGTAAAAAAATAATTTAAAATAAAAGTATATATAAAATTACAATATATTATTAAAGTTAAATAATTAACCACATGTAATAAGTGAGACAAAGCACATGCCGCCTCCGCCTTACCCATAGATTTTTATATATACAAAAAATTACTAAATAAAAATAAGGCTTTTTTTTTTAAAATAAAAAATGAGAAATAAAATAAATGTATAGGTATCAGAAATAGAGATTGTCGATCGGTAGATACTATTTGCCACGTGGCCACCCAGCTGCCCGTCCATCTAACCTACCTCAACATGAATGACTTCTCCTTATATAACCATCCCATCACCTTCCTTCTTCCTCACTTCTCCTTCTCACAAGCCACGAACACGTATTACTCCTCAAGACTTTTAACTATTATCAATGGCGGTGGCGGTAACCGTGGACCAGATCAGAAATGCTCAGAGAGCCCGTGGTGCAGCCACCATCCTCGCCTTCGGCACCGCCACTCCCTCCAACTGTGTCTCCCAGGCCGATTACCCTGATTACTATTTCAGAATCACCAACAGTCAACACATGACTGATCTCAAGGAAAAGTTCAAGCGCATGTGTATGCTGTCTTCTTAATTCTCATTACCATAATCGTCATTTACACGTTAACCTATACATATACTACCTAAATAGCTACTACCATCCATTTCTATGTCTTTTTTATGATACTATATGTTAAGTTACATATTATCCATTGAGAGAAGTACATGTACATATCCCATTATCAGTACATATATATATATGTGTGTGTGTGTGTGTGTGTGTCGCTGCTTCAGGTACTTTCTTGTGAGTGGACAGCTATTATCGTGGAATATCAGTGTAGTATAGACAGTCTACGTACTCTGAAATTTTTTAGGGGAAAACGTAAATAATATTAAGTCTATATATGTGGGGGTATATATTTATATATAGGACTATTGAGCTTTATATGTTTATTTATATGAGAGATCGGTAGTATGGTGATACATACGAGCTTTTCATCTCTTCCAGTATATTTTACTGTAGATATATACGAGAAATAAATTAACCATGCACGCATGGTGGTGAATGTAACAGGTGAAAAATCCATGATAAGGAAGAGATACATGTTCTTGACGGAAGATTTTCTCAAGGACAACCCGAACATGTGCGCCTACATGGCGCCATCTCTCGATGCTCGTCAGGACATCGTCGTCGTCGAAGTCCCCAAGCTCGGCAAAGAAGCCGCCGTCAAGGCCATTAAAGAATGGGGCCAGCCGAAGTCCAAGATTACCCATCTTGTTTTCTGCACCACCTCCGGCGTTGACATGCCCGGCGCCGACTACCAGCTAACTAAACTCCTGGGTCTCCGTCCCTCCGTCAAGCGCTTCATGATGTACCAGCAAGGCTGTTTCGCCGGCGGCACTGTCCTCCGACTCGCCAAAGACCTTGCCGAGAACAACGAGGGCGCTCGCGTCCTCGTCGTCTGTTCCGAGATCACCGCCGTCACTTTCCGTGGACCCTCCGAAAGCCACCTCGACTCCCTCGTCGGTCAGGCTCTGTTTGGTGATGGTGCCGCTGCAGTCATTGTCGGCTCCGATCCCGACATCTCCGTCGAGCGGCCGCTATTCCAGCTTGTCTCCGCCGCTCAAACCATCCTCCCGGATTCTCACGGCGCCATCGACGGTCACCTCCGCGAGGTTGGTCTTACATTCCACTTGCTCAAGGATGTTCCTGGCTTGATATCCAAGAACATAGAGAAGAGCTTGGTGGAAGCCTTCACACCAATCGGCATCAACGATTGGAATTCCATCTTCTGGATAGCTCACCCAGGTGGGCCCGCAATTCTTGACCAGGTTGAGCTTAAACTCGGCCTCGAAGAAGACAAACTCAGAGCTACTCGTCACGTCCTCAGCGAGTACGGAAACATGTCAAGCGCCTGCGTGCTGTTCATCCTAGACGAGATGAGAAAGAGATCGGTTGCAGAAGGCAAATCCACCACGGGTGACGGGCTGAATTGGGGAGTCCTCTTCGGATTCGGTCCAGGTCTGACCGTGGAGACAGTTGTGCTGCACAGTTTCCCAACGACTGAGGTAACTCAATGAGTTAGAAAAAAGAAGAAAAAAAAAAAAAAAAAAAGAAAGTTGGCCACTGATATTCATCGGGGAAGGAAGAAGAAGAAGAATACCGTACGTTGTATATTAATTACGGTTAAATGAAGCGTTGGGATGCTCTCGTGGGCTGAGTGATGGTTAGGTTTTTTTCCTTATTTCATTTCCATGAAGGTAATAATGATGAAAGGGAAGATGAAGATGTGTCCATCTTAATTGGCTACTATATGCATGCTTAGTTAGGTGAACACGTGGCGGACTTGTCCTCTCTTCGTCTCCAACTTTCCAAAGCTTCTCTTTTTCTTTCACTCTGTTAAAATTGTTATTTTAAATATTAATTGTATTTAACTCTCTCTTTTTTTTTTTTTGCATTTAAAATATAATTAAATAATAAGTAATTAAGTGGAGATTATCACTTTTACTTAAAATTAATTAGTATCTACACACATCTTATAATTAATTAAACACAAATACTAATCCAGTTAATTCGAGCAGAGAATCATTCCAGACGAAACCCGCTGAAAACAACACCACGAGAAAGGATGTGATGTTGATTTCCCCAAACCTCATGCAGCAAAAGCAAGTTGTTAGTTGAAAATTGAATGTTATACATACATACATACATGCATATATATATATATATATATATAACAATAAAGAGTCAACTTGAACTTTATGGAAATTAAGATCAACATATTTTTATATATAAAAAAAGATATTTTGTTCAATACAATTATATATAAAATACAAATGTACACTCAATCTATCTACATATATATAATTTAATTTGAGTAATGGATTTCTTTAACAATTATATATCCAAAAAAAAAAAATAAGTGAAAACTTATGATGGGTATAAATAATTTATTAAAATTCATGCATAATAATTAATTCTACTGTGGCAAAGCCAGATTAATACTATAGATATTATTTATTGATGGGTTAATTTGACAGACAAATTTAATTCAAATTCTATTAATATTTTGAAAAATTGCATGGTGTTTATTTGGGTTGACATGTATTATACATAATTGGTAATAAACATAACACATATTTACGATTTCTGGCTACTTATTGAGTTAATAATTATTTATTTCTTAATAATTTAAATCATATATCAATGTTCTTAAATTTTTATCTTTTTTCTAAAAAATATAATAAAATATAATGCTTACACGAAATATAAGTGATAAAACTATTAGATTTTAGATTTATCATGTAAATTTATATGTGTAAATTAATGTACATAAAAAATTATTAAATTAACTAAAATTAGTTAAAAAAATGATACGATATACTTAAATAGCATATTTGGGTTGTAATGCATCTACATAAACATGTTAATATTTCTTTTATAGATTCAGCTACGTATATTGTAACGGTCTCGAAAATACCCAAAAGAAATATATAATAATTTAAGTGCGGAAGCGAAATAAAAAGGTTAATGTTTACATTCCTTACACAATAACTTAAAAGTACTAAACAATATTATGGAATTCATTATTTTGAAAGAAACACAAGAAATAAGGAAATAAACAGAAAAAAAATATCTAACATTTACTCGCGATCTTCTTGCGGATCGAGCTCTAGAACTTGTTCCTCTTGATCTGAAATGGTTAAATAAGTAATGAGTTACACTACCTCAGTAAGGATATCACACTATATCACCGACACAGAAATAAAAGTAGGTATAAAAATAAAAACAACTAATGGAGTCCTAAATTTAGCAAATTTATTTATCAATCATAAAATTATTTACAGTTCACTTACCGCACTAGAATTTATGAAAACAACTCATGCATACAATAATATCATACGGATCATAATTTCATATAGGATTAACAATATAGCACATATCATAAATCTATACACATCGTCAAATAACCAAACAATAATTGTCACACTTTCACAAGTCTACTAGTATCCATTGGGGTTCATAGGGATGTTTCCGCTATACATGATCTATTTTCTTTAACAATCTCAATTATGGGCCGTCCCCGTACCCCATCCGGTATGAGCGCCAAATTATCAAACCTTAATACCCCGTCCGATATGAGCGTGAAGCAGACCGTTCCCATACCCTGTCTAGTATGAGTGCCAAATTATCAAGTCTTCATACCCTGTTCGATATGAGATAATGTTCACGGTAGAGTTTCCTATGTACCCGGTCCGTCCATCATTTCTCATGATATCTAATAAGGTTGCCGTTTTCTCTGTTTATTTAATCACACAACTTTTACGTTTTTCTTTGGTCTCCATTTTTTAAATCAACCATGACCACATAAGCAAACAAACATACATTAGGTAATGCAATCAAATCTCAATTTTTCAATCAAACAGTAGTCACGTAAAGCAGCAATTTACGCATTCGAACCATAAAATTGATAAATTCGATACTATCATATTTTTAAACAGTAAAATAAATCAACAGAAACTAACAGAGAATAATTTTCAGTTTGGGCTTCATTAGCAATCCGTAATTAATTATACACATTTATTTAATTTGCACAAATATCATATTATTATTTATTTAAATTTCTGTTCTATGATAGGGAATAGGATGAGGGATCCTTACTCGATTTGATGCCCAAAAAGTTGAGTTGTTCGACTACGCCTACGGACGATTCCCAACTTCCCTAAATTTTTTTTCGGGAATTAAAATGCTAATCGTATCTACAACTGTCTCAAACAAATCCAAAATAAGTCCCAAAGCCCACTTGACCAATTTCAAAATTCCAGCATGGCGGCTTCGCCGTGCTCCGGTAATAGCCCCGCCGACAGCTGCGGTGGTCCGTCTCGAGTCGGCTATTTTTGGCTGATGTTGCATCGATCCCTGTGAGAAAATACGTTAAAGGGCCTTGGTTGGCCAAAAAAATATAAAAAACCGAAACTCACTGACGGCGGGACTCTCTAGTACGGCGGCTCCTTCGGGTCATGTTGCGGTTGGGTGTTTTGCTTTGGTCAACCTATAAAGAATAACAAGGTGATCACAACGGTGAAAAAATTATACAGAACGGGAATCGAAAAAGATCTCATCGGAGGCGTTTTGTGAAATTTCTTGTGGTGGCGTCGCCGGGCTTCGCTGGCATTTTTCGGCCAATTGGCCGATCTTTTCACTCCGATTTGGCCATGGGTAAACTTAAAATTGAATTTCAAGCAAAAGAGAAAGTTTTTACCTTTTTTGGCGGTCGAAAAGGGTTCTGGTGCGGCTGCGGGTGGCGGCGGCTCCTTCTCGGCGGCCAAGTCTTCTTCTCCAGCGAGGGGTTCTGGTGGCTAGGGTTAGAATTTGTTGCGGATGGAGGTCATTTATATCCGTCCATTTTTTATTTGGGTCGTCCATCGCGTTTGATCTGAACCATTCGATCGCGATCAAATATAGAGTGAATCTAGGTCGTTCAACGCGATGCAATCTGTACCGTCCATTGCGATCCACTCTCGGCTGTCCGATCGCGTTCAATTTTGACCGTTCGATCGCGTCTGGGGAGGGAACGCATCTGGGTCGTCTTTGCGCGCTGGGATGGATCTGGGCCATTCGATCGTGGGCACACGGATTGCCCACGTGGCATCGCGTCAGCATCCGCTGCCATGCGGCACGTTCTGATTCACCAGGCCTGTTGATTGGGCGTCTGACGTGGCGAAACTTCTTAAAATATCATTTGAGCCCCTATTTTTCGATTTTTCTTTCAAAAATACCCAAAAAATCTAAATTTTCAACTATTTTTTCCAAAATTATTTTCAAGTTAATTCTTATTAGTTTTACTTCATTTTTACTCTAAATTAAATGAAAAATAAATTATAAAAATTATATTTATAAATTTTAAATTACATACAATTAATTTTGGGGTGTTACAACTCTCCCCCTAAAGGAAATTTGGTCTCTCAAATTTGTCACTCACTCTCAATTAAACAATTTGGGATATTGGACTATAAACTATGATTCTAGCTCCCACATAGCCTCCCTCGGTGTGTGTTTCTGCCATATGAACTTTACAAAGGGAATCTCTCGGTTGCGGAGTAATCTGCTCTTTCAATCCATAATACCAACCGATACTTCATCGTAGGACAGATCCTCATGTAGTGGAGGAGGATCGTGAGTTAAGACATGAGAGGGATCCGGGTTGTACTTGCGTAGCATGGACACATGAAACGGATTATGAATCTTGGAAAGTTCTAAAGGCAGTGCTACTCTTTAGGCGGCGGTACCAATTCTATTTAAGATTTCAAATGTTCCAATAAATCAGCGGTTCAGTTTCTCCTTTTTACTGAACCTACTGATTCCCTTAAAAGGAGTGACCTTAAGGAACACCCAATCGTCATTCTCAAATTCCAAATCCCTCATCTGGGTGTCCGCATAACTATTCTGCCTGCTTTGAGTCCTCTTGATATTCTTTCTAATCTTAACTATTTTGAATATAGTCTCCTCTACCAGAGCTGGGCCAAACAATTTTCTATAACCCACTTCTTCCCAACAAATCGGTGATCTATATGGGCGCCCATATAATGCCTCATACGTAGCCATGCCAATACTCGTTTGGTAGCTGTTGTTGTAAGCGAACTCTATCAGGGGTAGATGGTCATCCTAATAGTCCCCGAAGTCAAGAACACAAGTTCGAAGCATATCCTCAAGTGTGCAGACCGTCTTTTCTGACTGTCCATCAGTATGAGGGTGAAATGCAGTACTAAGGAACAATTTTGTTCCCATGGCTTGCTGAAATCTATACCAAAATCGAGAAGTGAACCTGGGGTCCCTGTCCGACACTACTATCATTGACACTCTATGTAATCTGAATATTTTTCGGATATACATTCTTGCTAATTTGTTCAAGGGATCAGTCATCCTGATGGCTAAGAAGTGGGAAGACTTGGTGAGCTGGTCAACAATTACCCATATGACATCATGTCTTGAGTGTGCCTTAGATAATCCTGTCATGAAGTCCATGGTGATATGTTCCCACTTCTATTCCAGGATCGACAATGGTTAAAGTATCTTACTTAGGCGTTGATGCTCTATCTTGACCTGCTGACATATTAAACACTTAA